CTGCTATATACATGAAGGAAACCAGTAATTGCTTTGTCTTTTACAGACACGTATGACTGTTTTCTACATTGGCCTGCTCGCTCTTCTCCCTGGTGACATACACAGGAATCCAGATGTAATAGCTCGTGTAGGTTTACATGTCCTACATTGACTTCCCCACCAATGTATTCGTGGGCTCGGAGTCAGCCTGGGGGGGATGTTATGGGGCACTAGAGTACCACAACATATTTATGCTATTCCTGAGAAAAAATGGAAGCTGTATTAAATGGAAGCTATAGTGTGTTTTCAGTAGCTACAGATTATAAATAGTTATTTTGAAGTTTTCTTAAAATGAAATGGCGGGAGGGAAGGTTGCGGAGGAAGATTTTGAAATAATGTGTAAGCCTGAAAGAATTATGACAAACTTACCCTTGGGCTTTACATTGGTATGTGCAGTAGGTATTTGGTTCTTTTACAGATCTTTCACTCTATTTCCAGTTATCCTTCTCAATGTTTTCTGACTGCTCTACAGAAGCGTCAATTTTACACATATGGTGGGACTGCACAAAGGGTAAAAGGTTATGGACCTGGTTCTACCCGCTCTATACACAGTTACTGGCATTTTTCTGCAAGGACCCCTATGAGGCCCTCCTCAGTAAAAAAAACCTGAGGTCTGTAAAGTCACTCAATTTAAGTTCATAATCCATATCCTGTATAACTCAATCCACAGCTGCAAAAAAGTGTGATTATCTGAGCATGGAAGACCCCAACAACGCACTTTGCAGAGGTCAAAACCTGGTTTCATATGTTTTATGGAAAAGTGTATGCTGATACAGAACTATACTATGTCCACATTTTGAGGAAAAATATGGATGCCATGGATTGAGTTCTTAATGCCTTCTACCCAGGGCTGAATTAACATAGGGGCTACTGGAGCTGCAGCTCCAGGCCCCTAAATTAATTTAGGCCCATCGTAGCTGGGTCCCAGAAAGAAGCTGAGAGCCAGAACAGGCTTCGGCACTTGACTCCAGTAGCGGTGTGGTAGTGCAGCCACCAGTGACATCCGCATCTCTTGCGGAGTGCCAGCGATCGCACCTATGCCCAGCAGCCAGCATCTACCTGCCTGTCCCACTAACTCACAGTAGAGTGAACTGAAGCCACCTACTCTTCCTTGGCTCTGATGTTTACATGGATACAGAGGGAGGAGGCTGGACACCGCTGTGTCTGAGCTGTGCTGATCTGAGGTCTGTAGTAAGTACAGTGTAGATGAAAACTTGCTGGGGAGGGGGACCCAGTGACAGAGAAGGGGGGGGAGGGGGGTTAAGGTAACACTTAATAGGGGTGATTTGGGGGGTTATGAGAGGACTTGTGCTAGAAGGGGGGGTTGGGTTTGAAGTCCCCTCCCTCTTAGTCCTGACCCCCCCCCCCCCCTCCCCAGCACAAGTCTGCTCCCAAAGCGCCCCCCCTCAGTACATATCCTCTCCCCAGTACATATCTGACCCCTCCTCCTCACCTAGCAGATGGCCCCTCCCCTCCCAAAACACCCCCAGTAGATATCTGACCCCCCTCCACCCCAACGTCTAGCACAAGTCCTCTATACTCCCAAAGGGACCCGCCCAGCACATATCCAAAATCTGGGTTTTGTTTAACTATGCCCTTTAAGCCCCTTTCACTATAAAGTTTGGCCGCACTCACTTTTGTTCCTCATTCTCAGATTGATTTGAAAGTTGGGAAGAATGCTTTCACCTCCGGGAGCACAGTGAAGCATTGCCCCTAAGGAAGTTTGGCAAATAAAATGCCAGACTTCCCAGGCATTACACCTGTCCAGCTGTGCCCTTTCAAGTATGGCGACCAGTAAGAGAAGAGTTGGGATATGTCATCATATTCTAAATCTGCTCCACTGCTGCCTCTTTCCATAAAAAGGCCCACCAAATCCTCAGCACCAGAACCTGCTTCTACCTTCAACCCGGACTCTCTAACAATAGAGTGCAAGAATGCCTTCCATTTATATGCAGGTTAGATGTGACCATAGTAATTGCCCTACTTTTGGGAACAAGACTACATAACCCACAGTGAATACTTTCCTAAACCCCTGCCTTGACACCACTACTTACTTTACCTCCCTTCCTCTTTCTCCTTTCCACTTCACACCTCCTTTTTCTTTTTATTCCCTTTTCTCCTAATCTTTGCAATTCCAAACACCCCATTTCCAAATATGCTTCTACTGTGTGCTCACCACAGTAAAGCAAGGATAGAAACCCTAATTGGAGCTGCCCCCATGCTTGCATATAGCTACAAACTATGCAAGATCAGTTAGCATGGTTGAACCAGGCATGCGAAGACTGGGGGCCAAGAGGGTAAAGGACACACAAAAGTAAAAGTAGCACTACATGAATATAAAATATGTTCTGCATCCACTTTCTGGGTGTACGTGTGTTGTTTAAGGGGACAACTGTTGCAAGTACCATGATAAATCGTAGATATTTTCAAAATTCTCAAGCTGGGCATACACATAGCAGTTTGGTGAAGTGATCAAAATCTCAATTCCATTTTTAGTCAAAATCTCTAAGCAGTCTAAGTATATATAATGGTGGGTTTGGAATGCCCTGATTTAGCCCAGCAATAAAAACCTTATCACCTACAAAATTTCTGTATTTTGGTTTTTTTTTGTATTTGATTTAGTCTTTCCATAAACTCTCAGAGTGGTCATACACATATCAGTTTGTGATTAATCTAGGAATGAACAAACTCCTGGGTATGGTATGACTTTCAAAAGTGATCTATTAAAAATGATCTTTTTATAGATCTATAGTATGATCGGTTGTGTGACACACACACAGGTATTCGTTCAATTGATCAGAAATGATCAATAAACATCCACCATGGCCAATTTGACTTGGTAGTGTCAATATTGATCAGAAGCTTATTAAACCAATCAAATGGAGAGTCTGTGACTTATTACAGTTATTTTATTAGTGTGTACAATCGCTTGTCTAACAAACACATATCCGTTTGATCAATCAGAAATGATCAATAAAATACCACCATGCGTAATCACCAGCATTAGTATCCTAGGAAGCTCTCTATACCGATTGAATGAAGGGTGTGTGGTTTCCAGTTTTTATTCAATTTGATCCTTTTTAGTTACATTCAATGATTGCTATTAATGATCATATCAATATGCATGTGGTAATCTTTTAAAGCTCTTTATTTATTGTTCAGTTTTACGCTACAATCAGCCAAATTCTTGTGGGCCATCAAATTCATTGATTAGATTTACTTAGGGATGCAATTATAAACCAATGAATCTGGTTCTCCCAAAACACTTACTGCAGTTGAATCTTCCAGGTACATGTGGCTTGAATGACAATGATTGACCACCAGTGAATGTTTGATAAAAGTCACATTTACCGCTTTATAAATATGAACTCAAGTGTCTGTAGTTACATTCGTATGCGTGATTCCTGTTGAATGAAAAGTGGTTTAAATTGACTGAAAGATGTTACAGTTATGGTCGTTTTCATAGTTGAATGTCCATTATTGCAGATGCAGGGTTTGCAGACATACAAAAAGGTTGCAGATCCCTAGTTCAGGTATATCCAAGAACTAAAATGTGATATCTTGTATTATAAATCCAGTGTCCTTGTAACCACCTGTGTTCTCAACTGAAATCTAAGCTTCTCCAGTTGCATTATATTGCATTTTTGTTTTTGGATTTAGATACAGGGATGGAGTCCGCTTGACTTACATTTGATGTGTATATTATTCTTTTTAGCAGAGGAGTAACTAGAAACTTCAGGGCCCCCTTGAACTCCCCCGTTCGATCCCGAGGCCCTTCCTTCTGAGCCCAGTGGTGGAATGCCAGGGTCCAGTCAAAGTGTTACCTTTGTGACCCTGGTAGTTCCGCCACTGGTGTCAGTAGTTTTTTTTTATTTTTGTCGTTTTATTTTTTTTATTATTTTTGACCATTTTTTCAGGACCTCGTTGTGGGGCTTTCGTGAGATATCGGGGTCTAAACAGCCTCATTCTCCATCTCTGCAGTCTCAGCTGCATAGAATGAGTGAACAGGAATAGCTCTGTACAGAGCTTCCCGTCCATTCACAAACTGAAGCATAGTAGACACAGTTTACTATGATTCAATTATTAATAAACAGAGTCAGTGATCAATATCGATCACTGATTTTGTCTATTTAAACAAGGGAAGGGCCGTTAGATGGCATTTATTTACTGGCCCCTTCTTCGTTCTTCATCCTGACAGAATCCCCCAGCTCTGCAGGGTTCCCTGCTGCCAGAGCTGCAGGGGATAAGGGGGGGCCAAGAGAGGGCACAAGGGCCCGAGGACTGCAGAAGGAAGCTGGATAGGAGGAGCATATAAACTGATACTTTCCATGTTCCTCCTGCAGGCGTTGAATGCCTGCAGAGGGGAGAGGAGGAGTCAAGGGCACTCACCGGGCTACAAGAGGAACATGGAGGGGATCAGTTCCTCTATGCCATCCCTCCTTTCCAGAAATACAGGGGAGCTGCATGAGGCAAGGTCGCAATTGAAACCCCTGTACTTACGCCCCTGCATTTTAGAACCTGCTTGCGAAGTCTCCTCTTTCTGCAGCTAATCCTTTTATATCAACAGTTGTAAGTGCTTCAGTTGATATACAGATAACACTAGAAGGTAAACCTGAAAATCTGTAGGTAACATAATAATGAAAATATAGTCCAGTAAGCATATGCAGTGTGAAAGTTGAATCTGAAATGACCGAGGGTAAAATAATAACTCCAAATGTATTCTACTCTACTATAAATGTTAATACTACATTTTAAAGATGTTTAATGTAGTAAATGTCAGCACTTAGAACATTTTGCACTGACAAAACCAGTCCTTAATTCTGTGAAGTGTCACTTGCCAAGTGGTTTTCTTCCAGTAAGCCATACATATCCAGAGTACATTGGCTGTCATACATTGCTGGAATAAATTGAAGAACCAGACTTCCCAGACAGACATACTTCACCTGCCAACTCTCTTCTAGGTATTTCAGAGCTTGCCACCACCCCGGAGAAAGCCAGTGACTACATCTCTCCACTGCTCAATTTTGCTGCCAGCCATATACCGCGGGATAAGCACAAAGAGACCCCGCTTTATATCCTGTGCACAGCAGGGCTCCGAATCCTGACTGAGAGGTGAGAATAGCCATTCTTTCTGTAGACTTCATTATAAAGGTTTTCTGGTCCTATTGCGAATTAACAAATACCTATTGGTCAGAAGGCAGCTTATCTTGCTATATCCTCACAGTATGTGAAATAACATCCAAGACTTTACTTTCCTCCTGCATTTGAGTGAGCTGGCAGCAAAAGAGCAGTAAATCTTCTGCCAATATTACAGAGGATAACCAGGATATAGACCTTATTGCTTATCTATCAGCAATGAATTAGTATTGCTGATGTGAGTGCCATGCATTGCTCTTGCTGTCGAAGACGTCAGTAAATGGGTACCTGCTGTATAATTCATAATATATCACAGATTAATTTGCTGAGTAATACAGTTATTAGTGTCTAGTTCCACCAATAAACATACGTGGCAGATTCATAGAATTTACTGGTTCTAAAGGTGGCCATACACCAAACATTTGGATGCGAGCCCACCAACTAGTTTCTAAATGTCAGTTCTCCTTAAGATAGTAATTAAACATGCATGCTCCTAATGCCAGAACATGCATGTTTATGCCCCAATCAGAAATACCCAATTCCATTTTCAGGGAATGATGGTGCAAGGAAATCCTGAACATCTCCATGAACCTTGATTTGCAGTGGGTGTCTGCTCTGATCTGCCCATAAACTCATTGTTTGTAACCAGAATTGGCTTAATGTCACCAAATTGGGCAAGGACATCTATTATACAAGATACAGAAGGGTCTTGTCTTCTGACCAACTTACTGTGAGCTGCTGTTTGCAGCCAAGTGGATATTTTTGCTTTGTTGGATGTAATAATGAAAGCATCTATTTCAGCCTCTCAACCTTTTTGATCCAGAGGAACCATTGGAACAATGTTCAGGTCTCAGGGAACCCCTGCTAAATTGAATTTTTAAGGGGTAAATGAGAAGAATTCCACCCTTACTTTGGTGGTCAGAATGTCACCCTTGCAGATAACTAAAAATTTCACTAGTGTCCTGCTAATGGCTTTTCCAAGTGGTAGTGCATAACAAAACTATGCAGACACCATCAAATGGGAGATCAGTCAGCGGCAGCACAAGGAATACACTAGAGCAGTGGTTCTTAATATTTTTTGTGTCCCCTTGAACCCCATGATGATACAAATTTAAATGGTAAACATGGGCCAACAATGAGTTAGGAGATGCTTAGTGGTCAATGCTAAAAGCAGTATAAGCATTTTCTCTCAATTCTTTCAATGGGAAACCATTCATTGGGACAGGGGGAGGGTTATAAAGTGAATGTAAATGTTTTTATCTGGCCCTCATGGACTCCTGAAACCTATCCATGGACCATTCAGGGGTCCATGGAACCAGTTTAAGAACCCCGGCACTAGAGTAACCCTAGGGTTCCGCAGAACCTTAGTTGAGAATGGCTAATCTAATTGGTATTATATATTAGGAGCCTCTGAACATTGTTCTTGCTATAAGTGGGCTGTCAGAAGCTACCAAAAGCACAGGTACAATGTAAAGAAAACCTAGTTTTATTTAAATAAACTAAACTTTAGTTAGCCATGCATAGCAGGCATCTAGATGTCCTTACACACACAAACACCATTTAGAGGTCCCATTTAGACCTGCTGTCTCCTGCTTCGTGTGCCTGATTATCAGTTCATTCTTTTGATGGACAGTCCCCAGTAGTAGGGGTTATGGTGGAAGAAGATATGACCAAATGCACCTTATGAACCAATGTTGCTGTTTACATTTATGAGCTGTCCAAGCATTAAGCTCTTGACATGTATGTCTGCCTGGAATTTAGGGGAGTTAAAGCCCAACTCCAACCTGAAATGTTCCTTTTAGGTCCCTGGTTTAGTTCTTGTTCATCACCATGCTTTTACCATTTGTAAAAGCTCATTTAAATTTGGACCAGTGCTTGGGAAAGGGTCATACACACATCAGTGTTGGTGATGCAGTGCATTTGGCACCACACTGCCATACATTTGTACAAAGTAGTTTGGGATTTCTTTGAATAGATTACGGTGATGATCCTCCAAGACCCCTTCCACTGCATTTTGATCTGCAGTTTTCAACGTAGAAGTCTAAGCAAGCCCTTATGATTGATATGCTGGTAAAACCTAAAAAAAACTTTTAAAACTTTAAAAAATATTTTCACATCTGCAGAGATTTTCCTTTCTATTTCTGAAATGCTTGGAGATGCCCTGATACATTTACAGCTTCTCAGACACTGGCCACATTTTGTACTGTGCTGCCTTTAGCTTCTGCTTTTGTGTGGCTTGAGGTTTACACTCACAAAATTCAGCAATGTTTACATGTTTTGGTAAAGCTGAACCTGCCCCCTTCCTTCTCATCTTCACAGCCTGCATGTACTTACTGCATCTATTTGTTTCAGCCAGCAGGAGGCCATACTTGAAGATTTGCGGACTGATATCCCGGTACATTACGACTTTCTGTTCTCTGACTCCCACGCTGAGGTCATCTCGGGGAAGCAGGAAGGTATGTGAAGCAGACAACTGCACAGCAATCAATGGAAGTCTTATACACCCACACAATACTACCATTTCATGATCCTGAAAGCTTCCCTTTATAATAAGGGAATTGATGTATGAACACTAGCCCCCTTTTGTATATCACTAGTATATCATCAGATGTGCTGTCTGCACATAATTCTTAGCAGCATTTAGCAAGCTTCTGGAAAGAGGAACTGATTTTGTTGTCTGTAGCAATCAGATTCCTCCTCTCATGATGCATTTGGAGAATTAGGAGAATTTGGTTGCTGTAGGCAAAAGTTCTTTCTTCACACTCTTGTATTAAAAAAAGGCACATTGATGTACAGTGAGTTACTCTAGATTTAAAGACTGACTTGTCTTTGTTGGATTTTGTAGGCGTTTACGCTTGGATCGGCATAAATTTTGTCTTGGGGCGTTTTGATCATTTAGACGATGGTAAGTTGGTTTCTTGAACACATACTGTTATATTTCTGTCATTGTTTGACATACAGTATATGTAAATCCTAACATTAAACTTCTCCTATTTGCTTCCTTTTGATCTGCTAAATATGGAGAGGGCAATGTGTTCAATAGCAATAACACCTTTCTCCTCCATAGACACTGCAGGATGAGTGTTGTTGCTTTAGGACAAAAAGTGTGTTACTGGCAGGGACATCAGGGGAAAATAAAGAGGTTAAAAACCCCAGAAAACAATGCAGTCATCACATCTTAAGTCACCTTTTCATTAAAATCTGCTCTCATAAGACTTTAAGCCTAGATCACATGATCTCCGATTACCAATTCATAGTTTGGGTGTTTCACAGAATACACATTAGAGACCAACTAGTTTTATACAATATAAAATGAAGTTTTTAAAACAATAAGACACACTGTTCGGTCTTCAAATCAATTTTGGTTTGCTCGTGGAGTCCATTGGTTGCTTAGGCGCAGGCTGCATTTGGGCCCCCATGTCTGCCCACATTGAGATTAAGCCCTGCCTTCTGCTGGCACAAAACTCTTCAATCTTCCATTCACCTTTCAAATACCCAAATATCTACTGCCCAGATAATTTTTTAATAAACTTTGGATAATGCGCTAGGTGTTTGCGCCACCTGTGTGCATTCTTCCAGTTCGTTGATCTCCCCATCTGAGGAGGGCTGCATTTCCAGGAATTTATCCATAGGTCATTCACACACCTGATCCCCTGGCCTCTCCCTGGTATTGACTCCTTCGAGGCACTGGAGAGTTTTCTTCCAATATGGAAGTTCTGGCATTTAAGAGTGGTATGAGGGGGGGGGTGCTTAAAGTGTTACTAAACCCAGTACCCTCCATTATTATTATTATACAGGATTTATGGAGCGCTTTACAACATAAGGGCAGACCGTACAATTACAATACAAATGAATACAGGAGGATTCAGAGGGCCTCGCTCATTAGAGCTTACATTCAATATATCTGGTCTCCCACAGTACACAGAACATGGAGGTGCAGTTATTTTAGTAAATATAAACTGCTAAATATCTTTTCTCATCAGCAGTTATAGCAGTCTTGTGACTTTTATCAGTGTCCAGCCGAGCACTGGTTAAAACTTGCAGGAGTAGTTTTCATTCTGCTGTAGGAGGATGCAGAACCCCTGACCTCTGTTTGGATAGTGCTGATCGGCCCTGTGCTGATCACATTTACCCTCCCAAGAAAAAAAAAAAAAACCTATCTAGCTATACACACCAAACTGAGAATGTGCAGGGTGACTCGACACGGTATGTCTTATCAGGAGATAAGAGGGGGAAATTGGAAGAAGGGGGGGATCAGAGGAGTCCGGATCAACCAGCATTTTTACATAGTGCAGAGGATTAACCCCTTAGGTTCCACAGCGAGTATAACAAGAATGCTTTAATGCATATACAGACGTATTTTACTGTTGTGGGTTTAGTAACACCGTAATCTTGATTTCAAGGACCCACGTACAGCCACGGCCTAAGATTCAAAGGGGTGAGAATCAAATTGAAGGCTTAAAGTAATATTAAAGGATGATTTTTTTTCTTTGTTTGTTTAAACAACAAATATGTCATACTTGCCTGCCCTGTGCAGTGGTTTTGCACAGACCAGCTCCGATCCTCCTATTCTCGGGTCCCCTGCCAGCGCTCCTGGCTCTTCCCTCCTGCTTAGTGCCCTGATAGCAAGCAGCTTGCTGCTATTGGCACACCCAAGTAGGCTTGCTCCTGAGCCTCTGCTCTGTCTGTCCATACATACATGGCCCCCGCCCCGTTCTCTCCTCATTGGCTTACTGTGATTGACAGTAGCAGGAGTCAATGGCTCCTGCTGCTATCTCCTTCAATCAGGTGGAAGAGACCCTGGAGAGCCAATCTCTCGCGCATACCACTGGATCAGGATCAGGTAAGTATAAGGGGGGCTGAGGGAGCTGCTGTACACAGAATGTTTTCTACCTTCATGCATAGACTGCATGAAGGTAAAAAAATATGAGCCTTTACAACCACTTTAACACCAGTACTTGCAGATACCACGTGTCATATTTGGTTATCTCAGAAACCTATTAGGCCAAGTCAGGTTCACTTTACACAAACCTCTTTAGGACCTATATCTTAAAAAAACTACAGTTCCTGTTTTAAGGATCCTTTAGTGAAGTTGTCTGTTATTTATTTCCCACCTTCAGCCCAAATCCAGTGGTCTTTCCTCTGACATGTCCTGCTCGACCTTTATTCTTACTGTACTCCGAGGGATTACCACAGGCTGCCATAAGTATGGATTACCCATATAAATAAATAGGGCTACACCACACAGAAGCCAGTCGGGACCATGTCAGAGAACAGTCCTCAGTTCATGGCTGAGATTAGGTATTATTCCAGATGGAATAAACTCAAGGATGTGGGGAATTTTCTAAAAGACAACTTTACTATGGGTTGAAGTCATTTAAGATATTCGGAAACTCATGAGTATTATTTGTTTGTGTATTTATTATGTTTGTACTTATTATATTTGTGGAACTTCTTTACCCTCACAGAAGATGAAGCACTGGTGGAGGTCAATGTGCCTGGCAGCGATCACAAGGACGCCATCATACGTAAGCGTACAGTGGGCATCTTGGATATGGGCGGTGTCTCCACTCAGATTGCATATGAAGTACCTAAAAGTGTAAGCTTTGCCTCCTTCCAGCAGGTCATTATCCGTAATATTTTACTCCTTTTTTTATTTGCTCCTCTTCTGCTTCTTGCTTTTTTGCCATAACCAGCCATAACAAAAGTAAATGAAAAATAAACCCAGTAGTCCGCAGATTTCTGCTCATACCATTATCACTGAGGTTTCAGAGATACCTCAGATGTATTTTCTTATGAACTGCTTAGTAGGCTTAGCAGGAAAACCTTTTGGCATAGAAGTACAATATATGCAGCAACCTTTTAGCATATTACAGCAACTTGCATCCCCAAAAACTCCCAGAAGGCAAGTTTTAGGATCTAAAATATTGGGGAGGCCTTACAGAAGAAATAAATTATCCCACATCTTTACAAAACCGCTGTACCAAAGGAAACGACCAGAAGCAGTACAAGAAGTCCGCATCCTGGCCACAGCCTCTAAAACGGGTTGCCATAGGGCCGTAACCCCATTTTATATAATCTAGTATATAAATTTTCTTACGATAAACTGTTATTGGAACAAAATCTAGTAGGGTAAGATGTGAGTGATGAAAGAGTTTCAGATGAATAATTCTATCTTTTGAGGAGATAACGGGTGTTTTAAAAGTATCACTAAATTCAGATCAGTCTGAGATAGAAGGTTCTATAGCTAAGGAGAGCCATCTAGCTTGAGCAGTGGCGAATCTAGGGTTGAAATCAGTCATAAGCACAGAGTAATACTCAGAGATAGGTTTAGTAGTATGTGGGTGACGTAACTGTTTTTCCAAGGGAGAGATTTGGAGAGGGTTGTCTAATGAACAAAATTGTGCTCGAATAGCGTGTCGAGGCTGATAGTAATAAAAAAACATAATATCAACATTGGTCAAATTCCTCTCGTAGGAAAGAAATGGACTTTAAGGCCCTTTTGGAGCAAAAATATGACAAAGATATTTAACCCATCTCTGCAGATCAGGCAAGGGAGTATAGTTCACTGTAGGTGGGATTAAACCAGAGTGGGCCATTAGGTGATTTTGACCAGGGGGCCTTTGTTTATGGGTCACAAAAGTACGAACTATATAGAGAGCGTGCTATGAAGCATCATGGTCCCCAGACGAGGGGGAACCCAGTCCCTTTAGGAATATTATGAAGCGTTTCCACTGAGGAGTAGATGGCCACCTCCATGGTAGTGCATGCATTATTTGAGGTGGAATGTAGCCAATCATGAACATGTACCAGTTGCGTATCCAGGTAATACAAATAAAAATTAGGAAAGGCAAGCCGCACCATATGAATGGCTAGGCGCAGGACCTCCAAAGCAATTTTAGGTACTTTGCAGCACCAAAAGAATGCAGTACAAATGGTGTCAATTTGTCTGAAAATGGATTTAGGTATCTTACAAGGAGCATTAGCCAAAATATACAACAATTTAGGTAATTAAATCATTTTTATAATATTGACCCTCCCATGAGATCCAACAGTAGATCCATCCACTGCTTCGTTTGGTGTTTCAAGTGGGAAAGTAAAGGGCACACATTATTTGCAATATAAGAGTGCACGGGCAACTGAATTATATCCCCCAGATACCTGAATGACGTAACCACCTGCAGTTTGGAATCCGGGTGAATTGCTGAAACAGCAGCTGGATCTTTGGGGAAATGACTGGATTTCTCCCAGTTCACCCGGAAGCCAGCGTAATTACCAAAAAGTACAATTTCATGCAATAAAGAGACAAGAGAATCAGATGGGTCAGCGAGATAAACCATAGTGTCATCTGCATACAGAGATATACATTCTTCAATCGTACCAACTGGGAGGCCTTTAATGGTGGAAGAAGTACAAATACGAACTGCAAGTGGCTCTATCGCCAATGTAAAGAGAAGGGGGGAAGGCAACAGAATTTACCCTAATCCTGGCCATAGGGGCAGTATAGAGAAAGAAAATCCAGGCAATTTTATGGGGGCCAAAACCATACCGTTGCAATAGTGAAAAAAGATAGAGCTATTCAACACTATCAAAGGCTTTACATCTAAGGAGATAAGAACCCGAGCAGGGAGGCCTTCATGAGGGTATTGAAGATTCTGGAATAACCTGTGGATATTCACTCTAGTAGAACTACCAGAAATAAAGCCCCCTTAGTCTCCCTGTACCAATCTTCCAACCACTGCACCCAAATGATTCGTCAGAACTTTGGACAAAATGGTAATATGCACATTTATTAAGGAAATTACACTATAGGAGTCACATTTAAGGGGATCCTTATGCGGTTTTAAAAGAAGGACAATTAACACTTCCCTCAAAGATGAAGGAAGCACTCCAGCATCTAATGCTTCTGTAAAGGTATGAGGAAGGAAAAGACTAATTAGAGGTACATTTAACATCCCACTCAGATGGGAAGCCATCTAAGCCTGGAGTCTTATGAGCGGACAGCTGCGAGATGGCAAGTTCGATCTCTTCTACAGACAGTGGGGCATGGAGCTCTCCCCTTGTATAAGAGGACAAAAACGGGAGATATATCTGTGACCTATATAGTCAAGTAGGTCTGTGTAATGGCTTGTGGATTTATATAGGGAAGAATAGAAAGACAGGAGGGCATCTAATACTTCGTGAGGAGCGATACCAATATGACCAGTAGGTAAGTAAATACAGGGAATGGAAGTGGGAGTCGTATCAGGTCTAGCAAGGTAAGAAATCAAATGACCAGCTTTGTTACCATGCTCAAAGATTTTTTTCTTAAGTGTAAATTATTTTTTTTAGTTAAATCCAATAAACAAAGCTTATATTCTCTTGTGCGTGCAACCATAATTCCCATGTGGATTGGGTAGGGGTAGCTGTGTAGTTGCCCTTGGCCTGGAGTATAGCAGTTTCCAGCTCCTCTGTGCATAAGTGTTTTTGCGGAGAGCACCCGTTCCGCAGAAGGGGTAGCAGAGTGCAGGTTTGTATTCCAATAATCGGCAATGCCTTGTTTACATTCTCCCTGTACTACTTTATCCTCCTGCTGAGAACATTTACATGGGCTACCACAGCTGACCATTTTTCTGAAAGGGCTAGTTAATTGGTATTCTTGAAAATCTTATGGCTTCTATGTTGACCCTGAACAAGATTAAATTCCAAATCTACATACTTGCTCCAAGCCCATGTTTTAGAAAGCATTGAAGCCATTAGATCAGTATTACAACCAGGAAACTAACAGGAATGGCAGGTTTGAGGTTTCCTAGATGTTAAGTAGGGATGCTAAGAAGATCCCCTGCTGTATAGATAACTGCTAGGGGAGCATTTAAAGAGGTTGTAAATCTTCATGTGTTGGTTTTTTTTTTTTTTTGTTAAATTAAAATAAGAAACCTGTTATACTTACTTGCTCACTTGCCTATGGCTCCCGCTGCTGCCTCTCCGTCTTGTTAGAGAGGAGAGAGCTGCTGCAGACAGACACAGTGCCGGATAGAATTAAGACTTGGGTAAGTATTTAGGAGGGGAGGAGGTGATACAAATGCTGGGACACTACCTTAAAGGATAAGTTCATCTTTTCGGGCAGAATTTCACTTTTCATAATAAATAGAAGCGTTTTCCAATGCCATTTTTGGTCCAGCCATCCCAATGTGCTTTTCTCTCACTTGCCTCATCCACAAGACGCTTAATTTGTTGTCAGTTTCTGTGAGATTTTGAATGGATTTTCAGATTGCACAATTTCCTGTAGATGGTCTCTCAGCATTCATGTCCTGTAGGCCACTTCCCAGAAGCCTTCACTTCCTTATTGCATCACAGAAGAGCGTGTGATAGGGTGTGTTCACCACTCTGGACCACATCTCCCTTATTACAATACCACCTTCCTCCCATTAGCTACGTAGTACAAGGGCCTTCCTGATTTGATACAAATGGAATTGATTGTTCAGGTGTGTCCTTCTTCTATTCCATAGTTCTGGTAAATCTAAAGGAAATTGTATAGAAATTGTACAATCAGATTGCATAGTCTATGGCCATCTTTATACAAGTACATAGGAGGGAGTTGATCACATTCCCGCATGCGTTTTGTTTTGGAGCATTTTCACTTGTTAAGCATAGGGCAGCCCATTCACTTCAATGGTCTGCCCTACATGCAACAATCACCCCAGAAAAGCTCAAGAAATTGTTTTGGAGCGGAGCACGGTGCGTTACTGAAGTTTTTGGTGCGTTTGCTGCACTTGAGGTGCCTTTAACATGTAATGACAACACAAACATGATGCACATTTGTAGCATGTTTCTGAAACACATGGTAAATCATGCATTTTCTATGCAGGTTGCCATGCGTTCAGAAGCACACAGATGTGAATGGAGCCTCTTTGTTGCGTGTAAATGCACCAATTTCAGTTTTAGGCCCCATTCACAGAGTAGAGGGAGCGTATGTTTTTTGGGTCATTTTTCCAGTGACACACATAGGGCAGCCCATTGGTTTCAATGGGCTGCGCTACACGTGGCAAAGGAGCTCATGTGAGATTTTGGTGTGATACGAGTTGCACAATTTTTCCTGCGTGTTTTGCTGCATTTGTCACCCGTTTTTTCATGTGGCAAAATGTGTGCTTTTTTCTGTGTTTGGTGTGCTGTTTAATGACACTGAAACTAGTTAATTTTAGGTGTATTAATGTGGCCATACACTATACAATCTGATTGTACACTTTCAAGCAGGCCCTTGCATTACATCAGGGGGTGTCCCATGGGCTACGTGCGGCCTGAGCCTGTCTGAAGGGACGTTGGGGTAGCCAGGCAAATGCACACGGGAGAGATCCTGGGGATGCTGTGAAAAAATAGTTGATGTGTATACTAATGTGATCAGCTGGTAATCTGCTTCTGGGGTCCTACTGGCTCCTCTGTCCTCTGTCTACATTCCAGGAATTGAAAAAGCTTTCTAAGCAATTTACCGTAGGCTAAGGATAGGCCTTGCTCTTCAGATCAAAGAGAACTTGTATAATTTTGCAACTGAGGTACTTAATGGTATATTGGTGCATAGGGGAGCTGGTTTTAAAAACAAAACCTGAACTTAGGCTTTAATGCAAGAAATGCATTAAGGTAAAAAAA